GCTCAGTGGGACCGGCTCTGTTGAGAGCGCGGCCATCTACCGCCTTCTGCTGTTCAAGTTTTTCTTTTTTAAAATTCTTTCTGCGCGCTTCAATTCTCACTTTAGTTTCTTCCTTGGTCAAGGGTATCTACGTCTTTCCTGATTTTCCTTCTCCAGAATGCTATATTCCAGCATATGGGCTGTTTCTCTCAGAGAGGCTTTTTACTTTGCTGCTTACTGTTCCGCCATCTTCCCAGATCCTCACCTTGAACTCACTTTTGTAGCATAGCCTGACCTCAAACTCATGATGATCTTCCTGCCTCAGCTTCCTGAGTGCTGGGATTATAGGCATGAGCTACCATGCTGACTACAAATTTAATATCTAAAGATCTACCACTATCAGAAATAACCAAGATATCAATGATTTCTAGGTGATATCATGCTTTTTATTATCTTTGAAATTTCCTATGTGTATGTATCTATATGTATTTATATATATATATTTCATTCCGAAACTTTCACATTTAAGTTTTTGAAATATTAACAAACAGGAATAAACACAGTTGAATTTTCTGACCCTTAAGAAGTTATTTTTTTCACTTTACTTGTATGTAACATGATATTTTGAGTGGTTCAGTAAGGCTCATGTCATTTTACTTTCTAATGTTTAAAGAAAAGACACATGGTCATTTCTGGGTCATGACAAATGTAACTACACGACCGCTGCCGATTTCTATGGATATAAGCTTTAAAATACTGAACATTGTTATTTTAAGCTTCTGTTTTAAGGGTTGGCTTTTATTGTGCTATATAATATTGTTTCTGTGAAATAATCAAAATTCATTGATTTTATTTTAACTTAAGAGGATCTTTCAGGAAAACAACCTATAAGAGGAAAGACTAAGAAAACTTTTTTGAGGGGGTGTCAAACCCCAGAAACTATAAATTGAAAGCCATAAAATTATAGAATTGATAGAATTCAAATTAGTGACATTGGTATAACAGATAGTTTTGCTGAAATTAAATGCCTTTGTTGGGTTTCATAGTTTAGAGATATTTTATTTTTCACTGATTAATTTCCATTTCAAATGTGATGGGTCATCATGGTAACATTGTCATTAACATATATGTTACTACTTTTTTTTTACAGTACTGGATTAGAAATCAAGGCATACTTGGCAAGTGCTGTTCCACTGAGCCACATTCCCGCATTCAGCCTATGCTTCTTTTATTTTTTATTAAATAGAAAAGTGTGTGTGTGTAGTATACCATAATATTTTGGAAGACGGGTATGTTATGAAATAACTGGATCAAGCTCATTATATTTTATTACCTGACATCATAGTCATTTTTGTGGTAAGAACGTTTAAAATCCACCTTTTGGCATTTTTCAGGAATACAGTATGTGGCTATTAACTCTCATCACCGTGTTATACGACAGATCTTTGGAACATACTCACTCCTATCTAGCTGGAATTGTGTAACGTTTGATCAGCATCTCTTCTACCACGACTCCAGCCCTGGAGAACTCTTTACTTCTGTGGAATCAATTTCTTTAGATTCCACATATAAGTGAGATTGTATGATACTTGACCTTCTATGGCTGGCTTATTTCACTTAATATAATATCCTCTGGGTCATCCATGTTACTGTGTGATATTCCATTGTGTCTATCACAGTTTCGTTGTACAATCATTTGTTGATTTCACATCTTAGTGTGGTAATTAATGCCACAATAAATAGAGAAGTGCAGATGGCTCTTCAACATACTGATTGGCTCCTGTTTGGTATATTAGTTTCTTTATTGCCTATGTAAGTTTACATTTACTATTAGGAAGTGTTAGAAAATGGTTGATTGAAAAGAACTAATCTTGCCACTGCAGTTGAATGTGGTGGTGAGTGCTCTGGGACACTGTTTTGAATTTGGCATGCCTGTGTTTGCATTTCTTCTCTGTCTGTGTGCATTGCTTGTGCCATCACTTGGCACCGAGAGAATTACAAATGGCAGTGCAGACTGAGTGCTGTAATCTTGTGGCAGCATTCAGAAGACTTACAACATACAGAGTACCTAACAGCTACCATAGTTTTAAACTTTTCCACCTATGTAAAGTTTAAATCACATGATTTCCTACCGCCAGAATCTTTTAATTCTATTTTTAAAGCTTTTAGCTGTTCTACATTTGTTCTGTATTTTTTCTTTTTTCTTTTTTTTTAATTTAAGGAGAAAAAGGAAAAAAAAAAAAACAGAAAAAGGGTACAAGTTATACAGAATTTCAGAAAAAAATAAACAATAGGAAATCACTAGTTAATAGATTACATATTGTTATCTTAGAAATAGTTGTTCAAGTTACAAAATTAAAGCATATAAAGTGGACTTTCAAACAGTGAGACGCTCTTCCCCCACACTCTTCGTGATTTGATGGTTTGCGCCAAGAAGTCTGCTGTAATTCTGATGAGTGTTCCCTTGTAAGTGATGTTTCTTGTCTCTGACGGCTTTTAGTATTCTGGTTCTTATATTGGATTTCTGGAATTTTGATTATTATATACCTGGATGTAGCTCTGTTTGGGTTGTAGGTGGCTGGGATCCTGTATGCCTCATACATCTGAGTATCTTTACCTTTTGCTAAATTAGGGAAATTCTCTTCAATTATTTCTGTGAATAGCTTTTGTAGCCCATTTGTTTGTGTCCCTACTTCTTCTTCTATGTTCTTAATTCTTAAGTTATAGATTCTCTTATCATCTTCTAGCCTTTGTATTATTGCTGTTTGTTTTCTTGTTATTTTTAAGAAGTTTTTCATTTCATGCTCCCATATTACAAATCTGCCCTCCAATTCAGATAATCTATCCTTAGTTTCTTTCAAGCTGTTATGCCAGTTTTCGATAGAGTTTTTAGTTTCTTGGTAATCTCTTTGAACCTGCTTCAGGTATTCTATGTTTTCTCTATTTTCTCCATCAAACAATTCTCCCCTTTTTTTCTGTTCTTCCATTCCACCATCTGTTTTTTCTTGGGCAGTGCTTAACATTTCTCTAACTATTCTGCTTATATCTTGCTTTATTTCATTAAATACTTCATTTTTAAACTCATCTATGAGGCTCTGGAGATATCGCTTTATGTCTATTGGTGCCGTGTCTGATATTCCATGTTTTCTGTCTTCCTTTGCGTTTCCCTTTCCTGGATCAGTGTTCTCAGGACTGGGGACTGAGGATCCTTTCTTGTTGCTTCCTCTTCCCATACTTTTTGCTCTTTCCATACAAGTGAATGTAGGAGGCCCAATTTTTTTCTCTTTTTCAGTTACAGTTTGTTTGAATTGTGCCAGCTAGGTGTTCCTGCCCACTGCAGAGTACTAGGGAGACACAGACCTGGGCAGCCTCTGCTGCGTCCGCCCCTCCAGGTCAACCTACTGACGGCTTCACCGCAAGGGTGCACCTCCAGGCCCTGGGACCTGGTTTGGGCTAGCCTGCTGGGTCTTAGTCAGCGGCGTCTCACAGGCCAGGCACTCTCCACCAATCCCGCTTGAGAGGGGAATATGCAACTAAAGTCACTGCAGCGCCCTGTTCCGGCAAATCTGCCTGGTCCCAGTATGTCCTTTGCTGGAGCCTCCTACTCTATGAAAGGGTCCCCGTTCCACTCACTCACCACAAGTCGATGTAGCTGCTAGTCCTGCTCTCAACTCTGTTTGCAGATTCCCGCTCTCAGAGCTTTCGTGCGTCTCTCTCCCTGCCCTGCAGATTTGTACGCAGCAGCGGTGGCAGCAGGAAGTTCTAATCGCGGCTTCCAGTGGCATGGGTTCTAGCTTCAGTGCTGAGATTTTATCTGTTCCTGTTATAGCACCAGGATTGGATTTCCAGTTGGTTTCTCTTAGATTAGTTCATTCCTGGGTCGGCAGGGGGTATCTCCCCTTTTTTAGGACTCCTCTTCTACCACACCATTCCTGGATTTTAAGCAGGGTATCTCAGAGAGCCTCCGTAGCTGCTGCTATCTACCCACCATGTTTTTCTGGAAGCCGCAGTATACTCTTAAAATAATATGAGGTAAAATCCCAGCTGCCCAGTGTGCTTCCCCAGTCACTCAGCTACTTGGCGGTCGCTCCTAGTCTGCGTGTCGCCGCCACTGGTCTTTGTCTCTGCCGAGTGGCCTGTTCTGTATTTTTTCTTGCCTCAGTATCTCCAACGTGTCCCATCCATCATGCTACAGGTTTCTTATGGCTTCGTGCTTCTTGTGAAGCTTACAGTTTCCTGTCGTAGTTAGTCCAGATGTACTTCCCACCCTCCATGATGGATGCAGGCCAGTGCTGAGTCTGCTGCCTAGAGCTGGGAAGGAGGGAGGGTCTTTTTTTCCTCATAAATAAAACTGGGATGACCTAAGATGGGTGCTTCATGAAGCTGATGTGTCCCACTTTATCTCCCCGTCCTCTGAAAATTACCCTCAGAGAAAGCTCTTTGTACAGGATGGAGCAATCCTTGACAAGAGGTACTGGAAAGAGAATCTTGAGAGTGTGGGTGCCAGACTGTTTGATTCTGTAACCTCCTCAGTTACCTTCCATCAAGTTATCTTTGTGGTTGAAGCTAATTCTAGCTGGGCTTTCACATGTACTGGAAGGAATTCTGAAATGACCCATATTATAATTTTTTTTTATTTTAAAGAGATTAAGACTATAGAGGACATAACAAAACAGATCAGAACAGAACAATGTAAACAACACAGTATTTCACCACAAGACAACCCGTAATTAATAGTAACTACCATAATGTCTCTTTCTTTGAAATAGTTGAGCACCCATATTATAATTAAAAAGATAACCTATTATTTGTTCATTCATTCATTCATTTTGCCATGCTGGGTTTGAATCCCAGGATTCTCTACCACTCAGCTACACATCCAGCACTTTTTATTTTGAGGCAGGGCCTCGCTAAGTTGCACAAGTGGGACTCAAACTTGGGTTCTTTCCTCCCAAGTGCTGAGATTTAGGGATGTGCCACCACACCAGGTTACAATTTAACTTCTTTTTTAATGTACCTAGGTGAAGATGGAGCTGGAAAAACAAGCTTAATAAGAAAAATTCAAGGAATAGAAGAGTACAAGAAAGGAAGAGGATTGGAATATTTGTACTTAAATGTACATGACGAAGACAGGGATGGTGAGCATCACGGGTTTCCTGAAGTCTGTTCTAAGGTGCACTGCTTGCTGCTCACCCTAGTCTTTGGCTTTTCTTAGCAGGTCATTTTTTACTAGAAGTTCTGTGATGTCATACTGTTCAGTTAATACTGTCATTGATTTGAGATTGGGGTTCATGTAGTAATAATTCTTTCTGAAGAATCTTAAATTTTCAGTTTCTCTTTCCTCCAGTAGTAATTATTTTGTTGACTCCCTTCTCGCTCTCACTCTTTCATTTTCCTAATAATGTAATCTATTGCCCAAATATTTTCATCTGATCATTTATTTTTTTCTTCTATACTCCACTAACCTCATTTTAGTCTATAATATCTTGAGTACATGAGACTCTATCTGCTGATGGAAGAAACATAAACATGTTCCACAACAGTCTTTCATTTTTGGATAAAGAAATACAAAGTAGAGAGCTGGAAATGGTGGCTCACATCTGTGGCCCCAGCACTTGGGAGTGTGAAGCATGAAGATTGCCATGAGTTTGAGGCCACCCCGGGCTACGTAATAAATTGAGAACTATACATAGAGAGATACTGCCTCAAAGAAAACAACAGTAACAACAACAGGAAAGAAATATGAAGTAGAGGATGATTTGGTTGTTCTGGCTGGCCGTTAAATCTCTTTATGTCTTTAAATTGGTAGCTGTGACCTAAATAGTTGAACTTTATCAAAGCTAGTAGAGCTCTCCTGTGGAGATGGCCTGAAATACCATGTTCTATTGTTAGTTGGGTGATGAGATGATTTTATCCTGTTGCCTGAAGAATCTTAAATTTTCAGTTCCTCTTTCCTCCAGTAGTAATTATTTTGTTGACTCGGTTGCCTTGGTTACTTTTTTTTGTCTGTTACAGATCAAACAAGATGTAATGTATGGATCTTAGATGGAGACCTGTATCATAAAGGGCTCCTTAAATTCTCACTGGATGCCGTTTCTCTGAAGGACACTCTAGTTATGCTGGTTGTTGATATGTCAAAGCCTTGGACTGCTTTGGATTCTTTACAGAAATGGGCAAGTGTTGTTAGAGAACATGTTGATAAATTGAAGATTCCTCCTGAAGAAATGAAAGAAATGGAACAGAAGTGTAAGTAGTCTAAAAATAGAAATATAGGTTTCAAACACCTAATGTAGCTGATCATAAAAATCATTAAGAATTCTTCTCTGAATAAATGTGTTGAAGGAAACATAATGTGACTACTGTTTTTGAAAGTCAGTTTAAGTAATATGCTGTTTTAATATAGTTTTAAATTGAAAACATACACAAAATGATAAACTCGGGACAGTGCCTTTTTTCAAAAGGTTCTGTGATTTATTTTGAAAAGTAGTTTTTCAGGGTGAAAAAAATTTGAATCTTCAGCTGCTCATTTGCAGCAGTTTTATTTCTTGATTAGTGATTATTTCTTTATTCCTTTTGTCAAAATGAAATATGTCTAAAAAGATGATTAAAAACATAAATGTTAAGGTGCTTTAATTATTTACAAAGTACATAATATATTTTGTATGTGCTCACGTAAACTGGGAATTTTATGAAAATTAAAAAAAATAATACAGGATTATTTTTGATAGATTATAAACCAGTGACATTTTAAAATTTCACCTAGTGCTTCATTTTCTAGTATTATACTTTGCCTAAAAAAATACTTCAGTGAAATGCTTTGTCTGATAACTTTTAGGTGAAAGTGACAGGCTACAGAAAAGAATAAAAATTTAAAATAATGTATGCCTTAAATCAGTGAAGAAATGTCTGAAGCTTTTAATCTGTACTTTCTTTTCCTTTTTGAGCTTTGGCTATGGAGTCATTTTGTTTTGTTTTTCCCTTCTTTTTCAGTCAAAGTTTATATTAGCATAATGGTTCTCAAACTGGTCCCTGGACCAGCAGCATCACTGTTAGTACAGCTGGGAATTTGTCAGAAATACAAACCCCCTCACCCCACCCTTTTTTTTTGGTAGTAGAGATTGAACCTAGGGCCTTTTGCATATCAGACAAGTATTCTACAACTTAAGTATATCCCCAGCCATAACTTCCTTTTCTAATATTATAATAATCTTATAACATTAAATATTCTTTGAAAACTTGAACATTTTATGGCTTTATGGTATGCTTCTTCATATAATACCTTAATTTTACGCAGGGTAATTGGTTTGAAGATTCGTTGTTTTGCTTTTAAACATGAAAAACAGTCTTGTAATGGAAATTCTTGTGTCTGCATCACTGATTGTGTCCTTGAAAATTCATAGAATTATTGAGTCAAAATACATGTTACTGGGCCAGGAGTTTAGCTCACTGGCATAAGTGCCTGCCTGGCAAGCACGAGGTAGTGCGTTCAATCCCTGGTACCAAAACAAAATACATGTTACTAAGGCTCCTGATATATTCACATTTACTTTTAAAAGTGATTGTGTTGACAGTTTTGCAAATGACCTAAAAGTTTATCAGATTAGTAAAAGCTCATTAGTGTCTGAGGCTTAAAGAATGGATAAGGTCTAGGATTGAGCCTAGCTAAAAGGAGATCTGAGTGAAGAAATTAAGAGAAAAGAAGTTAATATTAGAAAATAATCTAGCACCGTGTTTTAAATTGTAGGGCTTTTTCCATCCACATTCGTTTTTCTTTTATCCTTTTGATGCCCTTCTTTCAGAGAAAGTAAAGCACCAAGCCTTAGACTTAGCCAGAGTCATTTGCACAGACTTCCATAGTACCAAGTTCCTTGGAGCTAACAATGCAGTAATGTGCCTCAAAATTATTATTGAGGGTCCAGTGTTATTTTCCCTTGAAACAGATTTCTCAAAGTCTTTTTATCTTCTCTTACATAAGACTACATAGAACACAAACATATTTGTGGACTATGGCAGAAATAGCTTACCTTTAATATAAACCAGTTACTAACCTGTGTTTACTTTGGTTTTCAGTGATTAGAGACTTCCAAGAATATGTGGAGCCGGGAGAAGAATTCCCAGCTTCTCCGCAGAGAAGAGGCACCACATCACAGGAAGACAAAGATGACAGTGTTGTTTTACCCCTGGGTGCAGATACACTTACACATAATTTGGGCATTCCGATATTAGTAGTTTGCACAAAGGTTAGTTTACTTCCTACAAGTTAGCTGCTCATATTCGCCAAAGCTCAACAACTATTTTTGTTTTCTAGGGTTTTTTTGCTCTATTTGGGGTTACATTAGTTTTCTTAGTTTTTTTTTTGGGGGGGTCTTTTTGAGATAGGGTCTTGATATGTAGTTCAGGCTGGTCTTGAGCTTACATTGTAGCCTAGGCTGGCCTGGAATTTGTAATGATCCTCCTGCCTCAGCCTCCTGAGTGCTGGGATCATAGGTGTGTACCACCACAGCCAGCTTTCCCAGATAATTTTAAAAAATCAAATATAAAGTGTAAAATATGGATGGTGTTTATGTGATACTTTTGTGGATTTTGTTGTTACTGTTTTTGTTTTGCTTTACTTCCACAATCTTTTCTTTTACCTGTAAAGATATGTCCTAGGGTTACTTAAGATGGTTGTGTCTATAGAAGATGAGATCTAGAATCTTAAGTCCCAAGAACATAACAAAAAGTAGTCAGAGGGAGAAGTATGTCTTCTATTCTTGATTCTCACACTGCCACAAAATTCTAGTGCCCCCCATGACTGTTGGAAGACAGGTGCAAAGTAATCACGCTATCCCTGGGTGCCGCTCAGCCTGTCACGCTGTGTAACTGCTGCCCCTTCGTCCCACCGCGAGTCCTAGCTTTGGTCAGCACTCACTCATTCCGCATTGGAATGCCTATAAACTGCTGCCTTCAGTTCAGTCTTTTGTCTGTGAATGAAGGGTTGTTTCCTCAAATCTGGCTTTCTACAAAAGACTCCTCTTTTGGAAAGAGGATGAACCTTTTGTACCTCATCTACATTTCCATTTTATGGCTGCCATCTTTTATGATCTCAATCATAGTTTCATTTTTCAGCAATTCATTTTAATGTATTAATCCCCCAATATCAGAGTGTGTACTTAACATAAACTTTCAAATAACCTTGCAGCATCTATTTAAAGTAGATGTGAAATTATTAAGAGTTTCATATTTATTTATTAAAAAGTGCTGATAGGGTTACTTTCTAACTTGAGTCTTTTTACTGCGTCCTTTTTTTTTTTTTTTTTTTTTTGAGACAAAGTTTTGCTGTGTAGTTCAGGCTCACCTTGAATTCACCTTGTAACCTAAGCAGGCCTCAAACTCGCAGTGATCCTCCTGCCTCAGCCTTTCCAGCACTGGGATTAAAGGTGTGTGCCACCATCCCTGGCACAGATCAGATTCATTTTCCTTTCACTTTGTCCTTATTAGTCTGTCTTTTTTTTTTCAGTATTGGGGATTCAACCCTTACCCTTGCACATGGTAGCCCACGCTCTGCTTTGAGCTACATCCTTAGCCCTCTAATACATCTTTACTGTTTGTAAATCATGGAATAAAATGTCAGAACACACACTCATTTGAGGCCTAACATTATTTCTCTTTGGGATAAAGTTGATTTTATGAGTAATAAAAGATTGGGATGATAGTACTTAAAATAATTGAAGTCTACTATCTGCTTTTGAAATGGTGATTATGGTAGAGTTCATTGTTAACATCATTTGTATAAAGCAGTTTTTTTAGGTTTTATGTGGTGCTGGGGATCAAACCCAAGGTCTTGTTCGTGCAAGACAAGAGCATTATCTCTAATCTCCATCCCCAGCCCTAAAATATTGTTTCAAAGGTCACCCTGGAATCCTTGTGTTTGTTAGTTTTGTTTAGCAGAAAGCTGCTTGTTGGCAGATATTTCTATTTTATACCTCAACGTGTCTCAGAAAACGTTCTGTCTTGTACTCCACATGAAAAATGTCAAATTTAAAGGGTTGTGAATCAGTATTAGATGAGTTACAGATTCATAAATTCTTTAAGCCAGAAGGTATATCTGCTGTATTTTATAAAATCTAAAGATAGCATCAGATGTACTCCAGTTTGAGCTTTTATTAAAGAAAAAAGAAAACGTGTGTCTCCTAAGGGACGTTTGGGGAATAGCTCAGTCAATTTAAATATTGGAAGTAGAGATTCACAGAAGCTAAGTTTTTTGCTTTAGGTCCAGACACTCTGATTTCAGTTAACTTTTTGGGGGGTTACTGTTGATGTTTGAATTTAGGACCTCCTACATCCTAGGCAAGTATTCTACCATTGAATTACATCCCTAGCCCCTGATTTCAATTAAAATCTATTTACTAAACTGTTGTGCTTTACTAATTGTGTTGTTAGGACAGGTGTATAATAATTAAGATATTTTTAGTTGTTTTAAAATATCAGTCAGAGCCAGGTATGGTGGCACATGGCCTGAGTTTATAATCCCAGCCCTCTGGAGACTAAGGCAGGAGAGGATCACTTTGAGTTAGAGGCCAGACTGGGCTACATAAAGAACTCAAGGGCAGCCTGAACCACACAGACCCTGTCTCAAGAAAAAAAATCAGGATTCTGTAAAATGGACACATAAGTGCTCATCATAATTGTACAAGGAGACTATTCTATAATGTATTTGTGTCTAGGTTAAATGTGAAATTTGATCCCAAATTAATATTAGGTATAATGATTTCATTAATTGTCTTATTGTTTATATTTCATACCCTCAATTCAGAAAAGTTTGGGTGAATCCTTTGGATTCTGTTATTTTGAATAGAGTGCCTTCTTTGTATCTTCTTTTATCATTTTTCTACAGTAAGCAGAATTCAAAATTGTTTCATTAATTACACAGATGGTTTTTTTATTGGTACAGATGTAATAAGAGTAAATAAAAGCACCAAGAAAAGTGCAGGGTAGTGGAGAATTATCAGATTACTAGAGAGGCAAAGAGGAGTGAAGAGAGAGAAAGACTTCTTAGATACACTAATCTGCTTTGAAGAACTGAAATAGATTTTTAAAAATTTATTCTTGGACATAAGTTGATGACTTAAGTAAGTGTGACCATTTAATATAAACTTGACTCACAGTACTTCTTTCATGTACTAAAATTTTCTCATTGGTATTGTGGACTAGATTCAGTATAATAGAAGAAAGTTACTCATTAAAACTTTAGTCTTAAGACTCCAGCTGAAAAATCTCAGTTGCTATTATAGGTACTACTGTTCAATCATAGAAGACTGGCAGCTTTATGATGTCCCCCAATCCAAACTTTTGTTATGTTTAATTTTGATTATTTGTTAATATCATATTTTTAAATTATTTTAACAGTGTGATGCCATTAGCGTATTGGAGAAAGAACATGACTATAGAGATGAACATTTTGATTTTATCCAGTCACATATTCGGAAGTTTTGTTTACAGTGTATCCTTTTAATACATTTATTGATGTGGTACCCTACCTGCTTTGTTTTCTAAGTAAAGGACTTAAATTTAATAAATTTTAGAAATTGTGTTACTGTTATTTCTTCTGTCTCTGATTGGAAGTTTCATTGTTATTCTAAAGTCACTTATATCTGGTTATTTGGAGATTGAAAACAGGTACTGAAATTTATAACTTTAATGTGGTATATTTAAAACCATTAAGAAAAGTAGTCATCAGTTGTGTATAGAAATGTCTAATGCTAATGCAGAGGCATTGCGGATATACCTGATTATTTGGTTAGAGCAAGATGAATTGTTAGGTTTGAATATTTCATTCTTAGTTTCTTTAGTATGTTACCATCCTCTCTACATAGAGCCTAACTCAGTGGTTTCAAATTCTGGGTGTGCTTATATCTAAGACCTATTGGTTAGAATATTTCAAGGTGAGAATGAAATATTTGGTCTATTTTAAAACTTCCTGGATTATTTTTATGATCACAAGATTGGAAAACATGTCAGTTGTATGTGGAAAAGTCTAAAGCTAATGTAAAGGCATTGTGGATGTAACTGATTTATTTAGTAGGAGGAGTGGGTAGTCACTCTAATTTAGATTGCAAGGATTAGGTAAGCCAGTGAATAACAACTACAACTAAAAGCAAGAGGCATTAAGGATTAGTGATACACCTGTACTATATGTCTGCAGTCTAAAAATGATTTTATTAATGGGTAGTCAGGTTAAGGACTGTTTATAGAAAGCCTTGCTGATGATCTTGTGAATGAGATCACTGAACACTGGTAGTTTCCCTTTTCCAGTGGTGCATGGGCCTTTGTCTTCTCATGTCACCTATTAGTCAAATTGTTGAATTAAAGGGCATCTGTTTACATAGTATCTTTAAAAAGAGTTGGGCATGGTGGTACACGCCTGTAATCCCTGTACTCAGGAGACTGAGGCAGGATTGCCTGAGTTCAGGGCCAGCCTGAACTGCATAGCACGAGTGTCTCTAAATAAATAAATAAATAAATAAATAAATAAATAAATAAATAAACGAAAAGTGAAAATAGTTGAGGTAAATATCTAATGCCTTGTTATCTTTGAGAAATTGAAAACTTGAGAACAGCCTTTAAACATTTCTTAGCTTAAAAACACAAATATGGAGATACAGTCAAGAAGGAAGCTGTCCACTAAAATAATAAGACACACAGACACACTTAGAGCTGGCTGACTTTTAAAAGAATGCAGAATAAGCTAGGTGTGGTGGCACACTCCTGTAATCCTGGCACTCAGGAGTCTGAGGCAAAAAGATCATTGCAAGTTCGAAACCAGCCTGGGCTACAAAGTGAGCCCAAGGCCAACCTGAACCACATAGTGAGACTCTGTCTCAAAAAGACAAAACAAAACAAAAAGAATGCAGAATGTGAGAAATCACTTCAGGATAGTAAGATATGAAAAAAAAAAGATAGTAAGGTATGTGTTTATCAGTCAGTGAAAGTGACAATTTCAAAATCATCTTTATTTAAAAGCTTAAAAATTTTAATTTCAGTATAAATTTTTCAGTTATAAAAATCTTCCAGATTACAAATTGGTTCTTATTGTAAGGAAAGTGATTAACACAGTGTTCACATAATTAAGTTTTTGCTTAAGATTTTGCGTTTGTTTCTAATAAGTTGTAATTAGCAGTACGACTTTTAGGCTGACAAGCAGGCTATGTTCTAGAAGATACCAGTATGTCAGTTGAGAGTTTAAATTGCTCCCAATATTCGACATTGATTTAGGTCACTATCACTTTCTTTCTTAGGGACATGAAGGCCAGTGCTAGGCAGTGGTCCTTAAGGTTGATCATAGAATTTCCCTTAATTACTCCAAATAGATCATCCGTCAGTGGTCACCTTGCCTTTCCACAGGTCTCTTGGTCTTTTAATCCATTATTTTTTAGATAAAAAACCAAAAGTAGGTTCTGCTTTAACTAATACATTTTCATGTGAGTTGGTGGCATTTCAAGTTTTAGTCATAAAATCTATGTTTCCCCTTGGTCACTGTTGAAAGCTTCCTGGTAGTAAGTGTGGGCTTACTTTTTCTCAGTGTTGGGTTTTTTGAACCCTCTTCTGTGAGTCTCCTGAGCATTATGTTTGAAGTCTTAATTCCTGGAATTAGTAAAAAACCTTAAGAGATATTAGTGCAAACCATTTTTGTTGAAAAAACAAAAGATAGTTGATAAATAATGTCCTCAATGAAGTTTAAAAAGGTAAATAACAAAAATTAAGTGCTTTAAGTACGATATTGTCAGTTACTAAATTTACCTTTATTTCTTGGCTTAATGCAACTTCTCACCTAAATTAAATTGATTATGTAAAGATTATTTTATTTGCTTTTTAATTCATATGTATTTATACTTTTAAAAGTTAATATACCAGTGAAAGATATTTTTTAAACTTAATGTGCATATAGATGTAAAGGTTAAGCTGAAAACAGAGTTTCATGGTACTGATTCATAGAATTTATCCAAAATTTTCTTTAACATTATTATTCAGATGGTGCAGCACTTATTTACACTTCAGTAAAAGAAAACAAAAATATAGACTTAGTATATAAATACATCGTTCAGAAGCTATATGGATTTCCCTATAAGATTCCTGCTGTTGTTGTGGAAAAGGATGCAGTATTTATGTGAGTATACTTTTTTATTTTTTTTGGTGGCACCAGGAATTAAACCCTGGGCCTCTCACATGCTAGGGAAGTGTTGTACCACTGAGCTATACCCTGCAAGTACTCTTTTAAATATATTTTATCATGTATTATTGCTACTACCTGATGATAAATATCACCATTTTTAGTTCTGAGGTGGGATCAGTAGATTATGATGAATGATAAAAATCTGTATCTTAATGGTTTATTTATCTGCCTTGGTCTGTTTATTATTGCCTTTTAATTTTACCAGCTTTTTAAAAGGCCTTTGCTATTTTAGCTAAATTGCCCATTGGATGCCCATGTTAGTGTATTATAGCTCCTTATTCTTTAATTGATTATGATATATAATAACTGAGTGCATAATCTAGACTTGCTTTTAAAAAGCTACCATTTAAAAATTGGTAGGTGGTAATAGCATTTCAAGATGAGGAATATTGGCAATCACTTGAAGTAGAAATTAGTAAATTAAAAATGGGATGCTGTAACAAAAACTAATTAGTGTTCCATTATTGGTCCGATTGTCTTCATAAAATGTTCCCTTTACATGATCATGGGTTGAATGAAACAATCATTATATAAATGCTCCAGAGTTTATATATGTTCATCTCTTTCCAGTCCAGCAGGGTGGGATAATGATAAGAAAATAGGAATATTACATGAAAATTTTCAGACATTGAAAGCAGAAGATAATTTTGAAGACATCATAACTAAACCACCTGTCCGAAAGGTAACAATTTTAATAAGTATTTTCAGTATTTGGATTTTTAAACTGAGATGGCAATCCTTTTTTTAACTTTGGTACCAGAGATGGAACTCAAAACCTTGCGCTTGCCAGGCAGGTGCTTATGCCACAGAGCTAAAGCCCCGCCCTGGTAATCCCTAATTTTAAGATGCAAGGTAAAGAGGCAAAGATGCCCTTTCTTATCAGGGGCATTTTTAAGTATAATTTGGGTGTTTCTTATGTACAGTTCAGGTAAGAATTTGTCTAGCAGATTACAAATCAGCTGGTTATTGAATCTTAGCCTCTGGTGTAATTCTGTTAGCAAATGGTACTGATAATTCTACTGTGCTTTGGAAATCACAGCTTGGTGCAAGTGAGAGTATGGATCTTGAGCAGTTAGAACCTTCCCATTCTGCATCTCAGGCAAAAGCCAGGGAAACATTGCTAGAATAATTTTCTTAGTTCTGCCTATTGGGGTCGATCTTGGATCTTTTTTAGATGTTACCCACTTTTGCCCACAACTACCTATGAGCTTCTGCTTTTCCAGATTCAGTTTTAGGCTTGGCCAACGTATTATTTTATGACTATTAAATCAGATTCTAGAAAGTACTCTTTTTGCATATACATCGTGATTTCTTATTAAGCAATACAAGATGCTCTAGTTAAAAGTAGATGTCTCTGAAAAATTGTATAGAAATATTTACATATAATACTTAAATTTAGATAGATATTTCAGTAAAAATAATTTTGATTCAACATATATTAAGATTCTTAAGATCCAAACATTTACAGTGCAGCGCGTCTTCTGTTTGTGAGTTATTAGAAATAAGAAAAGAAGAGCTCAAATGAAAATTCAGTTCTGTTTGTAATAGTCAGCTTTCTCATGATTGGTACACAATACTCACAACTTTAAGGAGGAGAGGTTTAAATGGGTTCAGTCCCTGGTCAGGCAGATCCAGGGTAGAAGACCATGGCAAAGGAAGGTGGCTCCACACACGGCAGCCAAAAAACAGAGAGTGAAGGGAGGAACCAGGGACAAGGGTGCGCCCTGTCAGATCAGTGATCTCCCTCCTCCACCTGGCCCCACCTTCTAACAGCACTTGACCTACTGAACTCCTCAGTGGAGGAGTGCAGCACTCCTCGACCTTGCACACATGAGACTTGGGACATTTCAGATCTTAAATCATAATAGTGTGGATATCTTTAAAAACGCACACATTAGAAAAAGTGAAAAAGCAAAGAAATCTCCCCTCCCTCCTTGTTTTATGAAATAATCTAACTATGCAGTCCAGGTGGGCCTTTAACTGCGTAGCCCAGGCTGGCCTCAAACTTGCAGTCTTCCTGCCTGTTTTCCCAAATGCTGGAAGTAACACATGTACCACCATGGTTGGCTATCCCCAGCCCCTCGTTTTTTTTTTTTTGTTTTGAGATAGAATCTTACCAAGTTTCCCACGCTGGGCTTGAATGTAAGGTAAGATCTTGGTGCCCCAGCCTCCTAGGGTGCTGAAATTAAAAGCATGTGCCCTTATGCCCCACTATTTCCTGTTGTTTTACCAACAGAATTATGCTTTTGTCTCTTTCTTTCTTTTATTCATTCCATAAATGTTTATTGAGCACCAGCTCATGCACTAACTGCTTAGATGCCAAGTGCTAAGTAGGTAACACTGATAAAAGGTACAATTGGGATTGGAGGAGGACAGGGGAAGAGTGAGTGTGGGGACTGGGCCTGGAGGGTGGTTGGGTTACAAAGTGTTAGGGATGTCTCTGATGAAAGTGGTGGATATTGAAGGGAGAGGGATCTGAAAGTGCACAGATCCCCAGGAAGAAATGTGTGAGGAGGACAGAGAGGCTGTGAAGTGGTAGCAGGAAAGAGGCAGAGTTAAGCACAAGCACTTAGGAGGCTCATTAGGCTACAGGAAAGGGCTTTGGATTTCATTCCGAGTGACATGGAGGGGCCTGGAGTTTGCACACAGAAGCATTGTGATCTGATTTGACCTTTGATAAGGATGGCTGGCTCCTGGGAAGGAAATAGACTGAGCATGTAAAGTATAGCAGGAGTAGAAGCAAGAGACTTTGCAGTTCTTTTTCCTAATTATTCTACTGATAAAGGAGTTGTTATATTTCTATTTTGGGAAAATCAGAAACAAGTTACATTTCACTCAGCAGGAAGATTACGCTTTTTAAAAGCCCAGTTGTTGTTCAGCAGATGGTATAAGCATGATTAATATACTTTTGGCTTCAGAGTTGAGCTAATAAACATACGACTTTCTACATGTAAACTGAAATTAAATAAAATTGGAAATTTACTTCTCAGTCACATTAGCCACATTTCAGGTGTTAGTAGCCCCTGGTAGCTAGTGACTGTTACATTGTACTGTATGGACAAGGGACTTCTACATCATTGTGGGCAGCTGTGAGGGCCTGGGTTGGGTGGGACACCACAAGTGGAGGGTAATGTTCCTATTCCTGAAGCATTTTTTGGTACCAAAGCTTGAACTCAACCTCATGCTTGCCAGGCAGGTGCTTACACTGCTGAGTTAAGCCCCTGGCAACTCTTGAAGTGTTTTTTACTTAGTTTAATCCAAAGAGTAAATTACTAATGGTGCTATCAAAATATATTAAGCTAGGGGGCTAGGGATTTAGCTCAGCAGCATAAGTGCCTGCCTTGCAAGCCTGTGGTTGTGAGTTCCATCCCTGGTACCAGTAAAAATACAAAATACAAAATATATTAAGCTTACTCATTTATATATTGTATATTTCAGTTTGTGCATGAGAAGGAAATTATGGCAGAAGATGACCAAGTCTTTCTTATGAAGCTACAGGTATGGACTTGTATGAGAAGCAGAATTAGAATGGTTAATGGGTAAACTTCTTGTATATACTTTCTTTAAAAACAACAATATATGCTATGAATGTCTGACTTGGGATTTTTTCTTTTTTTTTAGTCTCTTTTAGCAAAGCAACCACCAACTGCAGCTGGAAGGCCTGTGGTCAGTATTACACTGTATTTTAACAAAATTATTAAAACTCAGTATATACTGTTTTAGTTCTCTTTGCTTAATCATGTACACATCTCACATAGGTTTGCCCTTAGTATAAACTTGAATTCAGACTTATTCTGAATTTGTGAAATTTTAAAAGAAACTATATCCTTTTCAGATTTAAATTGTGTAAAGATTCATTTTACAAATGTTTTTGTTTATTTATTTATTTTGCAGTACTGTGAATTGATCCCAGAGCCTTATGCAGGCTAGGCAAGCACAACACCATTGAGTTATACCACTGTCCCTTTTTTATTTTGTTTTAAGACAGGTTTCAAATTGGACTTAAACTTGGAATCTTCTTACTTCAGCCTCCTGGGTTACTAGGAGTATAGGCATGCACCACCACATGAGGATTTTTTTGCAATGTTATGTGTCAGTTATTATACCGAGCTATCTCTGTTTGTATACAGGTCCTTACAACAGCCTTAAGAACAAGGTAGTATTATTAGTCCTATTTTGCAGACAGGGAAACATAAACTTTAGAGAATATTGTGTCTTATTTGAGATTATACATAAGATACATGTCCAGATTGAAACCCAGATAGGACTCACACACTTATCCCCACAGCCATGTTTCATTACCTAATGCATTTTTCCTTTCCGTTGAAGAAAGAATTAGTGTTGCCTGGGATTTAGCTCAGTGGCATAAGCACCTGCCTGGCAAGTCTAGGTTGTGAGTTCGATCCCCGGTACCAAAAAAAAAAACAAAAAACAAAAGAATTAGTGTTCCAAAATGTGGTGAGCCTCTAATATTCTCTAATAATGACAAGTTTGCTTATATTTGTGTCTGTGTAAATACCAGGACAATAGATGATTGCAGAATAATCTCTCTTCATAGTGTGACGTTGAAAGTTTCAGGTTTCTATATTTGTGGTTTTCCTGTTTTTACCAGGATGCTTCACCACGTGTCCCGGGAGGCTCCCCTCAAACACCAAACAGATCCGTGTCATCCAATGTTGCCAGTGTGTCGCCCATCCCTGCTGGGTCGAAGAAGATAGACCCAAACATGAAAGGTATGTCTCTCTCTCCAAGAAAATCATGCGTTTACACGGGAGAAATAATCCACCTAGAATCCTGCCTAAAATAGTTGTTTTCATTCTTGAGCACGGTCTTCTAGGCTTTGTCTCTGGCTGTAATCTCATAGTAAGTAACCATCTGTGTCCAACCTTTGGCTTTTCTGGTACTCGTAGGCTATATGCATATAAAATGTATAATATGTATAGAGGTAACAAACACTATTTTTTAATATTTTTATTGTAACATTAAAAGCCCAAATTTAATAATTAAGAAAATTTCCATGCTTAATGACAATAAATCGCTGTCTTCACAGGCACACATGTGTATAGTTAGGTTGAGTGCTGTTCTTAGCAGTCACTGCATTTTATTCCAGTTGCAGGAGCAGCTGTAATGAGTGATATACTCAGGTTTTGATGGGCGACTGAGGTGGGCGCAGGAGCTGGAGTAGCGCAGGCTGCAGCCTCTCTGTACTTGGAGCCCCACTCAGTTGAGTCAAGAAAGATAGCATTAAAAGTCACACAATTGTGTTAAACGTTTATGCTCCTGTAGGCCCGCAGCACTTGCTGCCAGGACTGTGGGTGGGACATGCCTGTTAAAACCATTTTACAATGTTGTTGGTTTGTTTTATTAAATTTTTGTGTATGTATGTGTGGCACTGGAGATTGGCTTCAAGCTACATCCCCAATGTTTTTTGTTTTTCATTTTGAGATGGTTCTTGCTAAATTGCACAAACCAACCTTGGATTTGAAATGCTCCTGCCTCAGCCTCTGGACTAGCCAGAATTACTGTAAAGGTGTGCACCACTGCCCCCAGCAACAGTTTATTAATGCATCACTATAGCTATGAAAATGTTGTTGTATTTAATCATTCTTCTTTGGTAGGTCGTGAGAGAAATTCATTTTTATACTTCAATAGGTAACTTGCAGTTAAAGTATACACAGAATAGTCTGTAGGAATAATTGCCCTAAGTGGTAGGTCAAAAGACATTAAAGAGTTTGAACACTTTTGTGCCTTTTGATTTTTGTTCAAATGAATTATTCAGTTTTACATGTCATCAACATTGAGTTGTAATAACTTACAGTTTTCCTACAACCTAATTAGTGTTCTTTAAACACCAGAAGCCTTTGCCTGTTTGCCCCTACTGGTGTTTCTTGTTTGTGAATTACTTATTGTTACCCTTTGCCCATTTATCTCTTAGAACTTGTGCTGGTTTTCATATAGGATCTTGGAACTTTTTGTAACATAATAGGCAAATATTTCTCAACAGTTATAGTTTTTTTTGTTGTTGTTGGTAACGGGAATTGAACTCACAACCTTGCGTTTGCCAAGCAGGTACTTACCGTCGCTGAGCTAAACCCCTGGGCCCAACAGTTACAGTTTTAAAGAATCTGTTTCAAAGGGAAAAGATATATTAGAATCTAATATCTGTTTAAAATATTTTGGGCTTAAAATTCTAATTTTTAAGTTTCCTTACACTCAAAGTTTACTCATTTATTTTCTGTGTGAGTGATTTAGAGATTGTGAATGTTCAGCTTCAAAGATTAAACTACACTTGAATTTGAGATGTAGCTCTTAAATTTTAAGTCTATAATTTATTTAAGTCACTGTGTGCTTACTGCAGTGTTTGTGGAAAAATCTAATGTTTTGAAAAAAATGTTTTGTTTTTATAGCTGGAGCTACAAGTGAAGGTGTCCTGGCAAATTTCTTCAACAGTTTGTTGAGTAAAAAGACTGGCTCTCCTGGAGGGCCTGGTGTCAGTGGTGGCAGCCCTGGAGTTGGGGCTGGAGGAGGAAGCAGTGGTTTACCACCATCTGCCAAAAAATCAGGTATAGGCACCTGGAGCAGGTCCCTTTCATTGGAAACAGCTTAGTCGAGGTGTGATTTACACACCATGAAGCTCAAAGTATGCATTTCTGTGGTTTGAGCGTCTTACAGTATTGTAGGCAACATGACCGTAATGTAGCTTTGGGACATTTTCGTAGCCCTAAGGGAAACCTCAAATCTTCCCTCAGTCCTGCACCCTACCACCAGCACCATCACCCTGTCCCCCAACCTAGAAAACTACCTGTTTTCTGTCTTTATGGGTTTGCTTATGGGAATGTCAACATTCCCATATAATGTTTGTCTAGTTTAACATAATTTTTTTGGTTCATCCATGTTGTACCATGTATCAGTACTGCATTTCTGTTTGCTGCTGTATAATATTCCATTGTAGAGATAAAACACATTTTATTTGCCTATTTATTAGTTGGTGAGCACTTGAGTTATTTCCATGTTTTGGCCATTATGAATACTGTGGCTGTGAAGATTCATTTTCACATGGACATTAAGGTTTTGGTTTTCTTTGGTAAGCACTTCAGGTAGAGTTGCTGGTTACATGATAACTCTCTGTTTTAAATTTTTGAAAAACTATCAGAAAAATTTTTCAAAACTGCACCATTTCACATTCCCATGAAGGCTCCAGTTTTTCATAGTCTCTCCAACATTTGATATTATCCATTTATTGTTATCACTCATTCATCTTTCCACATTCCAGATTTGTTACTTTGTTTTGTAGTTTGTATTGTCCTTGTGCCTTAAAAATAAAATTAACTATATGAGATTAAATGATAGGTACCAGTTTTACTTCTATTTGCTAACAGACATTCAATTTTAAATAACAGAATTAATTTTTAAATTAAGAATATAAATATAACTTGGTATGCTAGATAAAGCTACAGAAAGTGCTATTATTGTTTATTTTTTTATGTTGGCAGTACTGGGTTTTGAACCCATCTTATTTGAGCTATATCCTAGCCCCTTTTTAAATTAGTATTTTATTTGTGGACTGGGTTCTGAGTTGCCCAGACTGGCCTCGCACTTGCTAATGTTGAAGGGAGAGACATTGCTGAAAAGCATGTTTTGAGTGTATCTTAATCTTGTTTCATCTCCTTCACTGTAGGCCAGAAACCTGTTCTATCAGATGTCCACGCAGAACTAGACAGAATCACACGAAAACCAGTTTCAGTTTCTCCTACGACACCTACGTCTCCTACGGAAGGAGAAGCCTCCTGAAAATACCAAATAAAGCCATTTATTCAACCTTCTGGGATAATGTAAACTTGCCTCTGCTTTTTCCGTCAGAAGTGGAATTAGGGAGCTGGAGTGCTTTTCACAGATGGACTAAACTTAATATCTTTTTGTTTTTGGTGGCTGCCCATTTTATAAAAGGAGCTATACAAAAGAAAAATTATTGTACATTATGTAGAATTGCTATTTGCAGTGCAGTTTTGCATAAAGAAGTAATTTTGGATTTTGAAAATCTCAAAATTTATAGACCTGAAATACAACCATGTGATCATACACTAAAGGCTACTTAAACCATAAAAAAGGATTTAGGAAAGGGCAGAAAACACACAGTTTGGGCATTTGACTGACTTGGAAGTCCAAACTTGTTTAGTTAAGATTATTAAAATCATTTAAAATTTTGTGTGTGTTATTTGCTGAAAAAAGAGAACTCTCCGTTGTTAGGTTTTGCACACCAACATAAATGTGACAGCACACATGGGAGATGCTGCAAAAATGGCGCTTGATTCAGTAGTCATTGTCTCAGTCAGAGGTCCTGTATGTTATTGTCAGAAGAGGATTTAGAATTATTGGCCAAGATGTTTCTTAAGCTGAGAAGGAAAGAAAGCACACTGCCTAAATGTGCAAAAGAAAAATGCAGAGGTTACAAAGATGTAAAAAGATTACAGTTTTTGGATTTGTCTATACATATATATATATGTATATATATATATGGCTCTGCCTTAATATACTCCTTTTTGTTTGTGACAACTGTAATCAGTTAATAAAATATTTATTCTCTGCACTCAGGTTCAGATAACGTGTCGCATTTTCTTACAGTAAGTTAAATGTGCATTCACCTAACTAATAAGATTTGTTAATCATTTGAAAGTTTTCATTTAATAGGATTACTAAGGATTTTGATCTTTCTCAGAGACAAGTAAGTACATGAAATTTCTTTAGTTTGCCAGTTTGTCTTGCTGAACACATTGTACTCCACAGGCATGTGTCAGGCTACAGAATCTTCCCAGCATGCCCAGTAGATAATGATAAAAGGCTATGTGTTTAATGAGGGGAAGCTATTTTAGAAGCTTGGTAAGTGTACTAACACGTGGCTACACTTTGCAGATGAGAACCTCTTTTATTCCACCTTTTTTTTTTGAGAGGGTCGTCTTACAAACTTGAGGCTCGGATTCATGGCAGTCCTCTTACCTCCTGCGTGCTGGGATTGCAGGTGTGCACTGCCATGCCTGCTTAGTTTCTCCTTTCCCGTGCTCAGTGTCAGTGCTTGTTTTTTAGAGTATTCATAAAAACAAGTTGATCTCTTCATTAATGTTCATTTCCTGTATCTGCCTGTGACCAAATGAGTCATTTCAGACGATTGGGAAAAAAACAGTCACTGCCTTTTATTTGAAACTGTCTTATCATGGGTTCCAGGCTGGCCTCGAACTGTCTGTAGTCCAGGCTGACCTCAGCCCCGCAGTGATTCTTATGCCCCAGCCTTCTGCATGCTGGGAGTACGGCCGGCTCTAGCCTGTCATGCCTGGTGATCACTGCCTTTTAAAGGCCTTTGTTAGTGCTTTAGTATGCAGATTCCAGAGCTTTTTTTCAGTGAATGTTTCAAGATAGTACTGTCTGTCTTATCATGATCTTTTCATTAAAACTTTAATGTCTGCTTAAGTTTTATAATAGTTAAATGCTAAAAATTCATAAGGGGAATTTGTTTCTATGTGGACTGAGGGTGCTCATAGGCGTAGAAAATATTTTAGCAAAGCATTTGAGAGAATGCCATTGATGAAAATCCAGTAAACAGTTCTGCAACCCTGTTTGATAATGTAGGTTTTCATTTTTTTTTTAACTAGAAATAAGTGAAACTAATGGATAGAACCAAAGCAAATTAAGAGACTGTGCTACAGATACTTTAGTGTGTCTGCAATTGCACACATGGACCAGTTCTCTCTTCTTATGTGTCACTAAAAGTTTTTAGCATACTTTGTACACAGAAAAAAGTGAAATATCACAAAATGACCACATAGAACCAGCCTCAAGCATTTCTAAACTAGAGGCTTCCTGTGTAATCCCTTAGTGATATTTTGTTTTTCAGTAAGAGGATTTGAAGCTGGAGCCTTAAGTATGCTTAGCAATTGCTCTACCACTGAGCTACCTGCTCAGCCTGATGTAACTCAGTCCTGCCACTAACAAGTACTCAGTCTTAACATCCAAACTCAGAAGATAAGTGTAAGCTTCATGTAAATGAGATCTTACACTTTGTCCTTTTTAATGCCAGATGCATTTTAGTATCCCATCTGTGGATCATTTTGTTGCTTATAGCAATAATTCTTTTCACTGCAGCATAGTATCTCTGTATAAATGTAATTTGTCAGTTATGCCATCACAGTTGTGTATTACAGGAGCCAGCCTATGAGCTTGTCCCTGACCAAAGCAACAACAGGAATGAAACACAGAGAGACACAGATTTAGGTCAAAATGTGCAGGCAGGGAGGTCTTGTCTCCCTTCAACAAAGCCCCAAGTGACCGGTGCACGCTGCTTTTGTTCACTTAGACACGGGCTGAAGCAATCAGAGTAAAGCAGGACTTTTCTCTCCCAAAGTCATGGTGTATGCCTGAGAAAATGATTGGATCTCAGATGTATTAATTTTCCCAGCAGCGTGTCAGCGTGCACTGAGGCGGCCTTTCTCCCTAGTGCTCTCAGAGGAGGCCAGTTAGGCCTTAACTTCCTGTTCAATCTCCCATATTCCCCCTTTCCACAATAACAGCAGCTGAATATCAACCACTGCTTTTTTATCCCTATGGAAAGAACGTAGGCATGATTATTCAACCTTTTGTCTTAAGGCATAGCCTTTAAAGACTATTATTTCCATCTGCAGTGGTAATGTGTCTCTGCTGGCTCTTCAAAGCCCTCATCCTAGCTGACTGCCTGATAACTAAAATGTCCCCGTCTCTGAAGAGGTGCTGCTACCTGCTCTGAGCAGGAACCTGGCAGCAGCTGTTCTTCAGCTGGAGAGGGATGTAGAGACAGCAGTCAGAGATCCCTCCAAGAGGGTCTGTTAAAAGGGCCCTTCATAGAGGCCGGGCATTCTCCTCTCAGGCACCGATGAAGAAAAGTCTGCCCCCTGAGTGCTTTCCTTCAGTTGTCTGAAGGAAGGCTCTCACTGTTGAGGAGAGTTCCTCTGGACACGGGGAGGACTTCTGCAAGGTTATACGACATACCCACCTGGTCTGTCGGTTTCCTGCAGTGACCAAGCAAACCCCAGTCAGCAGAGTAGCGAGCCCCTTCATTTTCCTGTCTCTGGGGTCTGCCACAACACTTGTGCCTTCTTTTTCCCATGCTGCTGTACCTTCAACCAGTGAATTCCTCCAGGGTACTCTCTATACTACCAACAGGATTCAAAAAAGTTCAGTGTAAATGTTGCAGAATTAAGGCAGAGTTGCAGTTTATGACTCAGTTCCCCTTTTTGTAATTGCTGTTTTAATATCAAATGTGTACAGCAGCTTCTCATTGTAGATTACAAGGAATTCTAGTACAATGACTAATATGTAGAAGTCTTTGAAAGCCCCTGCTTGTATAGGCAGAGCTATTAGCCATTTTTATTTTCTTAGGAACTCCCATCCTTGCAAATGCCCGGAGGCAGTGTTGCTGTATGTGCCCTACAGCCTCACCTGCATGGCAGGTAGCGTGCATAAAATGAGAGTATCTATACTAACATGCATATACTGAAGTCTGCCAAGTTGGGTATGTATGTTACATTCACTTACCATGGCCTATTTGCCTGAAAGCCTTGAGGATTATAACCTTCAGATGGGAATGATTTAGGAAAAGTCTGGCATTTTGGGCAGGACTGCAATGCGGCATGCCTGTGATCTGTACAGTTTAAAGTCCTGCCATTTGTGATGATGCATGCTGTGATCCTAGCAGTTGGGAGGCAGAGGCAGGAGGATCACTGAGTTCGAGGCTAACCTGAGCTACAGAGTGAGTTCATTCAAAGCCAGCCTAAACTGCATAGTGAAACCCTGTCTCAAGCAAAACAAAACAAAAGAAATTAAAACTAAGGCCGAGGATTTAGCTCAGTGGCACAAGTGCCTGCCTGGCAAACACAAGGTCACGAGTTTGATCCCCGGAATCAAAAAATAAGAAAAATAAAAAAATAAAATGAGGTAAAAGGTCACGTATTCTGATCAAAGTAAGAATGAGAAAACCTTGCCTGTTGAAAAATATCAAGGCAGTGAGTCTATTGGTGTGATGGTTTCCTTCTGCCACTAGTCCACGAAGGTCAGTGAGTGTACCTGACCTATTATAAAAAGAAGCAGTCCTATTCCTGATGACTGCCTGCAATCACAGAAACAAATTGAACAGGCTGGGCATAGAGCTCAGTGGCACAGCAACAGCCTGGCAAGCATGAGGTCCTGGGTTCAATTCCCAATACAAAAAAAAGAAAAAATTGAACAAAGTGGGATCGAAAGTACTTTTTATAATGGCTGTCACTAAAAGATTAGTGACATTAACTACAGAGAGTCATGTAAAATGTTAACAGATCCTGTCACAGTACATTCTAATACGATAATTACAATTCTGATCCTTGAGTCAGAAGTCCAGAGATGGCAATTTTCTGGTGATTTCGCACAGTCCAGTAAGTAGCAAAACAACACGAGGATCCATCTGTGAAATAATTGGAAGCATTTATGAGAGGAGTCTGAGTATTTCTAGGTAAAATAAATAATGACAGTATAACTGTACAAACTTACAAAACGATACATATGCCTTAAGAGCTGTCAAATCATACAGCAGCCTCCACTTCCCTGATTTCTCTGGGATGACAGACACAGGAGTAGTCCAAGGCTGGTGGAAGGCCCAGCAGGTCCTGCTCCCAGCTGTTCTCCCACTAACTTGGGAGCAGATGAGCCGCTTTGGCAAGGGCCATGGGTCCACCCAGCAGGCCCCGTCAGTTTTCCATTTTAATAGGGGAGTAGTCCGGATGGGAAGAAACCACAGTGACCCCTATTAAAAATTTGTCTTACAGCCAGAACCTTTCCTTTCATTCCTCTGATGGTTTCCACGGGTGCAGAGACCTTGCTCTCAACAGGTGCAATTGCCATATTACTAATCTAAGTTCGCCACTGATGGATGACAAGGGTGAAACACAGAATGCAGGATTAGGTTAAAATGTGGGGCCCAGGGGGTTCCTGTCTCCCCTCAACAAGAGCCCCAAGTGAGTGGTGCACTGTGTTTTTATTCACTCAGACACAAGCACAAGCAATCAGTAAAACAGAATTCATCTGTCTTCCGCTACCCGCGGTGTGTAATCAGCTGTGTTAATTTCCCTGCCGTGTGTCACATGCACTCAGATTGTCTTTCTCCCTTGTGCTCACATCAGAGGTCAGTTAGGCCTTCACCTTCCATCCGGACTCCCATATGTATTAGCTTCCTATTGCTATAACAAATTACCCAAATTTAGTGCTTAAAACAATACAAATTTTTCTTACAAATTTGAAGGTTAGAAGTCCAAATTCAGTGTACCTGGGTGGAGTTGTAGCGTTCAAAGGTCTGGTTCCCTTCAGAGGTTCCGGAGCACCTGCGTCCTTCCCCGCATCCAGAAGCCGCCTTGGCCTTGGCTGTCACAGCATCTTCACTTTCTGCAGCACCACATCCTTCCCTCTCCGACCCCTACTCTCTTACAAGGCCCACTCATCAATCTCACATTGTAGTCCACTTTCAATGTTTCACAGCTTGCACGGTTTCTGAAGTCAGACTGAATTTCTGGTTCTTCTGTAAGTGCTTGCGATAGTTGCT